AAAGAAGAAATTTCAATTGCTCTAGGGATATGATAGATAAATCCATAGATATAAAACATATTTAGTCTTTATAGGCAGAGAAAAAATTACATTTTCAAATTTTTTGTTAATTTATATTTTCCCCAAATATCTTCATGAAATTTCCATAAATCTATTGATAACACAAAAAAAATTGTGATTTTGAATGTAAGAAATGTAGATCAACATAAATTTAAACACTCAAGAAAAAAAGAAATCACAATATATTATAAAAAAATTGAAAAATTTTACCTAATTTGTCTTTTTTTTTTCAAAATTTGAAAAATCTTAAAAAAAATAACGATTCACACTTATTTCTTGCAAACTTTTGCAAATCTAGCACTTTAGGAATGAAGTTTGGAGTTTTAGAGTCATTTGGGGGTGAAAGAAGGCTTATTTCGGGGAAAAGAAGCTTGCTTTTCCCCTTTAATTTTTTTTTAGTTTTTTGTCGTATTTTTTTCGTCAATAGGCTACCAATACACCCTCGATACGCTCCGATATATCCCCGATACGGGTCCGATACACATGAAAAAATACGAAATGTCCGATTTCCATGCGTATCCCGCATCTATTTTTCAAAGATACGCTATGATACACCCCCTACCGGGCATATTGTATCAAAATTTTAAACCTTGAGTATTACTATATTGTTTGACTTGTTAGATATCTTGTCATAATTTGTATAGTTTTCCTTTTTTCACTCCAATGTGATACCTCGTCACCTTGTTGCATTCTCTCCCTTTTTAAATGAAAACTTCACCTACACTAAAAGAATAAGAACCATAAGGATTCAGTTTCTGACAAGTGAAAAGGCATACATAAATCAAGGTCACGGTTGAAAATAGAACATGAGAGAATCCAATACCAGATGCTTCATCACTAGTATCCTTGAAGTTGTCAGCTTTCTTTTTTTTATTGGAAACAGTAACTTTCATTAATTCTTTAAGAAAACTTAGTACAAACTGTCACCTTCAAAAACAAGGTGACCCCTCATCACATTACAAACAGGCCCAAAAAAGGTTCTGCCTACTAACTCCTTGTTTTTCTAAAGTATCGGCCATTGCATTGACTGGTYTCCTAGTCCATTTAAATGTGACTTCAAGCTCCCTTTTTAGTTGCATAATCTCCCTTATAGGTTGTCTAAGGGACCAGGCACCTAAGCTATTTGTTTGCATCCAACCTATTACCAGTTTTGAATCTCCCTCCACTTCCAACTGCTGAAAACCCAGCTGTCTAGCCAGTTTGAGCCCCTGTAGGAGTGCCAGAACTTCTGCTCTAAGAGAGTCCCCCAATCCTATCAGGCCAGAATATATGAAATCCTGCATTTCCTTGAGATAAATCGATTATGGTAGCTTAAATCTCTTTGACTTTGATAATGCCAGTATAACCTGGTGATGTTCCCATAAAATGAATATTCTCACCTTTTCTTTCCCCCATGAACAACAAAAGTGTATAGAGAGTTGCTTGCACTTGTTATTTCATTTTGAAATACTGGATCCAATTTTACACTTGGAAGTTTGAGTTCAAAACAAGCATATGCTATTTTTTTTTATGTACATCTTCGTGTCATTGCCACATTTATTAGTTTTTAACTTTTTATGTATTGCCTTTCCATACGACTTTCCCCTTAGGATCCAATTTTTTTCCTTTGAATATCATCCAAATTCATACCAAACAAATCAATTACTAAGATGAAGTAGGATACCACATGAAAATCAAAACATGCAACCATCTTGAACATCATATGTAATTTCTCCTTCGAAAAACAAATAACCAAATTACCCAAGCTGAAGAAAATGGGACTGAGAAATATAATGTTGTAGATTTTGAATCCCCCACAAAGTAGTAAAGGTATAATACATGCCCTGAAGACCAACTCTTCTGTAAATGGTGCCTGTTCAATAAAACATTTCCAATAATTAAATGCAATAACAATGTCATAGAAGATTGAAATACCTTCTCATTACCAATCAAAATATAATATATACAAGTTTTCCCTATCTGTAAAGAAAAGAGCATTTTATTGGAGAACAACATTAACATATGGAATGAAACTTTGTTTGGTTTTGTAAATAGGAAAGAAATGGAAACTAAGTGATTGTGGTAGATAAACTTGCCCTCCTCTTCTGGTGGGCAAAACATATTCATATATGGCCTATCAAAAAAAAAACATATTAATATCTGGAATTTGGTGGCTCTAACACTAAAATGTAGGATAATAATGGTAAAACTGGCCCACCAAAGGACTGAAACAATGAGTTTGGAGGACTAAAAAGAAAGATATTTAAAGTATTAGGACCCAAAAGTATGCCAGTAAAGAGTTACTGAACAAAAAAAAGTATGCCAGTAAAGAAAATTTACAATAGGTTCAAAAAAGATGTTGAAGTAATACCAACCACAAAGTAATTACGCCAGGCCAAGACATTGGTTGCAATGGAGGTAATCCATTCAAGAAACATTTCAGAAGCATTTTGTGTACATTTGAGCCAATAGTCTTCACCATGAACTTTATGTTCTTTCCATGAATTTACCACTGAGATTGACTTTGAAACCAAAGATCCAATGTATGGAAGAGAAGTCAAGGAAAGAGGAAAAACCACAGCATGCCACTGTTTCAGACATAAAATTGCATTTCAGCATGCAGATTAAGCAACTATTCACCTTTCCCAATCTGCAGACCATGAAATGTCATTCTAAGATTATCATAAGCTAAACTCATTACTGGGGATTGACTAGCTATCAATAAAGGAAGCTTATGACTTTGAAAACATATATAAAGAATGCCCATTAGCATATAAATTACCATATGATCCACGCGAATGCCATAAACACCAAAAATGGACGATGCCTCCAAACTAATCATCTAGCAAAATAAAAACACAATCAACTCTACAAGGAAATTACAGTAAAGGACAAAGAGAGCACGCGCACGAAGATGTTATCCCTACTTTTTTTTCTTTTGCTTTGGATAAGGTAGCTAAATTCTACTAAAAAGGAAAAAAAAAAATGAGCCACAACTTCATACGAATAATGCATAGAAAATTTTTCCATCTTGGCTTTGTCTGTATAGCAATTGGGTAGGCTATCTGTTCTCTGATCAAAGTCTTCATACTCAAAAACTTTGGAACCAAACATGGAGACCAAAATAAGAAAAACCACATTAGACCAATAACGAAGTTCAGCAATGGTGTTCACACTTGACGCAGTTAAGCCACTAGTATTGACCTAATGGGATGACCTTAACGACTGTAAAATGGAAAGAAATGGCGAGAATAGGTATGATAACCACTTCGAGGGGTCGGGCCTCCTTAAGTCATAACAAAAAGACGGTTCTTTTTTTCAGTTAAAATAACTTCTGCTCCATCCAAAACCCGATTTTCACAACAACATGCATAGACTTCTCCTATGAAATTAACACAAGTAACCATACATTTCAACCCACGAACCCTCAATAAGATAACTCCATTTTTTATTCATTGTCAATACAGACAATGTTCATCATGTCCTAATTAGCATTTCTTGTTTTCTTCTTGCTCAATATTCCAAGTGACCCATGAACCGAAAGGAAAAAAAATGGAGAAATGAAACACCAATAAGAGAGCTTACAGGAAGGAGGAGTGCACAAACGATGACCGACACTATTGAAGAGACGATGGCGCAAACAAACCTCCGGATCATGAAGTTATTCAACGAAGTAGGAGGAGGGAAGCGAAGGATCAACGTTGGAGCGTAGAGAACCGCGACGTAGAAAATCGCCATGGCCGTGCAGGCGATCACTGCGACTGGTTTCGAGACGTGACTTCCATCCTCCGTTTCCATTTTCACAGACGGAAACCCTAGAGATTCTCCGAATTGAGGTTTCTCTGTGAACGAGAAGCAGTGGAGGCAAAAGGGCTGCTAAAGCAAAGAAGAGTAGAAGACTCCTCAAAATTTATTCTTGGTTCTTACACATGGATTCGAGGTGTAAAGCGCTTCGCTTTCCTTTTTACTGGTTTCGGTCTTTTCTACTGCTTCCAGTCTGAAGTCCAGATTTTGACCGGAGAAGACCTCCCTTTTTCCGGGTACGAATCCACAGTGGACGACGCCTTACAATTTGCCACCTGTTCCATAACGGGACCCCCCGATGTCTGTTTCCACTTTCCACCCTAAATAAAAGAGACGGAAAACATAATCTAATCTTATATCTTATATATATGATATATATTTATACTGTATACTTAGAAAAGCATTTGAGGGTGTATCAAGAAGTTCAAATCTGGGTTATCAAGAAGTTCGAAGCTCCCGGGTTTTCTTGCTTTCCACTCAACAAAACTGAGTTATCTTCGTCAAGTTCGAAGTTCCTGAGAGCGGCAACACCTTCTCCTTCTTCTGCTACTAGAGGGTGCGTGAGGTAGGGAAGGAGGTAATTGCCCTTGTGGTTATTGTCGTCCTTGCTGCTTTTGGCCGTGGTTTCGTTGTTCGTCGCCTACTACCTCAAGGAGTAGTCTGGCTTTCCCTTTCTTTTCTAAGTCTGGCATGCGGCGCTGAATCTCGCTCTCTCTCAGTTTACCCCTTTACCTCTTTCTCTCTTTTCTTATACGTTACGGCAGACGCAGCTGTGTCTATAGTTCGTCAGTCCCTTCTTTCCCCTCTTTCAGTTTCTTCCATCTCTTTTCACCTTCCACCAAGTTTTTCTCTTCCCCCTTTCCATTTTTTTCCTTCCGGCGCTCTCTCTTTCCCCTTTCCATTTTCTCTCTCCTCTCTCCCTCTTTCTCTTCTCGCAGTAGTCAAGCTTTCAGTCACCGCCTTATTAGTTTCACTTCTCGCAGTAGTCAAACTTTCAGTCACCGCCTTCACTTGTATTTAATTTAATTCAAATACCAACCCCCAATTTCATCAGGCCTTGTTCTGTTCCTGCGATGCAAGCCATTGCCAATTTCATCAGGCCTCTCGCAGTACTCAAGTACCAACCCTACCTGGTGTCATTGTCTTTGGTGACTCCTCCGTCGATTCGGGGAACAGATCTTCACCATCCTCAAGAGCAACTTCAAGCCCTCCGGTCGCGATTTCCTTGGAGGAAAACCCACAGGACGATTTTCCAACGGCCGAATCCCATCGGACCTCATCTCTGAGGCTTTTGGAGTTAAGCCCACCATTCCTGTCCACTTGCCACCGGAGTTGATTTTGCGTCAAAATGTCACCTCCAACGTGTGCAATGATGGCTTGCACCCAAGAGACACTCCATCAACAGCAGTTTCAGTAGTAGAGACGGTTGCGTATACTACATGGCATCCGGCCTGCACTACGGCAGGTAACCTCTTGGCTATTAAATGCCGCCTTTAACGTTAATCTTTTTCTACTTCAGATTTTTTTTTAAGCTTTTTCTTATTAACATTTTAACATGTTTCTATTTTAGGATAAAAAATATCTGCATTTGGGAGATGATTAATGGTTTCGATGAAAGTAAAGGATATCTTTATAATTTCTTTCTTCACAATGCATTTAATGCAAGATTTAATGTTTGTCTTTATCTGCCATTTACCTCTATTATACCTTCTCTTTTCAGTTCTCTTCCCTGTTCCTTCTATGTTCCTTCGATGTTCCTTCTACTTCTTCAACTTTCCCTTTTGTTGCAGGTATTTCTTCATAGCATTTACTCTTAGTGTTATTTCCATGTTTAGTGTTAATAATATGTAGAATTATTATTTCTTGATAGCATTTACTCTTGGTGTTACTTGCTGGATTTTCTGAATAGCACTTACAACTTGAGAACATTCCAGCAAATAGCACTCAAGCAAGGTTCCTGGATTTTCAGCAGAAAACAACTAGAATTAAAATCAATTGAAGTCCTGGGTTTTCAGCAGCAATTGGTTAGAAATGACTAAGGTCTGTAAAGGATAATTATATTAAAAGGGAGGGCTGTCAATTAGCATGGACTTTATTGAATTTCAGTAAACCCTGCAATAGCTGATGATTATTGTTGACAGATATTCTGTTGTTTTCAGGAAAGTACATCAGTAGTTATTATGAAATATATCTAATTATTTTGATTAGATATGTTTTAATTGGCCTTCTAACATGGTGTGGAAAGGTTCTTCATGTTGTCTTGATCCAATGATGCTTGGTYTTATCAAGCTTCCTCTCATGTAATTACTTTTCTTTTGCTCTATATCTTCCTGAAATCTGCATATGACTGTCTGATATTACATGCTTGACAAGATAATGTTGACTTTGGTTAACCTAATGCGTGGCTTGCTTGGATGTTAGGAAGAGATTAGGTCCCTAAGATGCAAATACTGGTAGAAATGTGTATCATATCATTGGTTGAACTGAGTCATCAAATGTGCAGATCATAACCCTATTTAGCCCTTCTTGCATTGAAACTTCTCTTCTTTAATTTCATGCAGGCAGTATTCTATCTAGGTTGTTTTGGTCAAATTATTAGTGATCTATTTATAGTTCGTGACTCTAATTTGCATATTTATTCTTTGGCCAGTCTTTCCATTTCCGTCGAGGGAAAGCATACCTTTTAAATACTGTGTGATTTCTCTATGATTTTCTTATGTTCATGTTCTTGATTGCTGCGTGCTTTTTTCATAAAGTTGAACTCCCACATATTTATTTCTTTCTTTAAGTTCTGATTCTATTTTTATGCAACTTAACATAATTAATGTGTAGCTGTAGATATACACCTTACTATTTGAATTCCAGTGTGCCTTACTATTTAAGTTTCAAATGGTATTAACTAATTATACTGAAAATTTGCCCTCCATGATTAATTTTTTTGAAACAATTGATTCTGTAGCTATTGGAAGTGTATCCAAATGAGTTTAGATTTCAAATCCTTTCTCAGGTCTAAGGTTTTTTCTCAAGATCAAGCCCTAGCCGAGCCGAGCTCAAGGTTCTGGCTCGAACCGAGCCTGAGCTTGAACTCAAGCTCGAGCCTTATAGAACAGTCTCAAGCCGAGCTCGAGCCTCGTACTATTCAGCTCAGTTCGCCTCGAATCCACCCCTATTTATCAATGCATAAATGTAATGTTGTCAAACACATGCAAAAGTGAACTAGAGTGCATTTGCATCATTTCCAAATGCAGCCTAAGGAAATCAAGATATCTACCTTCCGAGATGGAGCTCATCACCAAGGAATATGACACCCATTAATGCTGCAATAGGGATTCCTAAGGGCGAGAACATGGCTGCAAATACTGGCCCCTTCTTTTCTATGCACCATGTGTTAGCCGCCAAAGGAGTTATTAAACTTCCAAAACAGCCTAAACAAAGAACAACAATTAAGTTAGAAAATAAATAATTTCTCAACTGCTTTTCTATATATTTTCTCTTTCTTTTTGACTTTCTTCTAATAATAGGGGTGGGGTTCGATCAAAACAGTTAAACAGTAGTTTTGGTGTTTGCTTACCAAGTAGACATCCGAGATGAGTTTTACACCTGGCTCTAGACTCCAACCACTAGGATCTCTTTCTACAATCAAACAAAGTACTGCAGTTTGGATGGTCCCAAAAAATGTATAGAAAGAAACAATGGTCATCTCGTTTGGGTACCCTCTAACAATCACTGCCTGTAAGGTACAAGAGGAAGAGTTATTAGGGTATGAGTCTGAACCAAGATTTTTATTTATTTATTTATTATTTTCATTTTTTTTCTTGTACCTGAAAATTGTTCCAAATAGAAATTGATAAAGAAGCAACTGCGAAGAATAATCCACCAAGGATCCAATTATTTTCAGTCAAGGATAGAGGAAGTGGTGGTGAAGATGGGGTGGTTCTGAATCTGATGGATGGGCCCTTTGTACAGGGTAACTATCAAAGCCCCTGAGATGGTCACTAAAGTCCCCACGATTTCAAGTTTATTATATCAGTTTGTTGCCATCTCTTAACTTTATTTCATAGAATATGAAAACTAATTTTCATTTAGCTTGCAACTAGGAAACACACTCATGAAATAGGTTGTTATTATTTTTTATCTTTCTTTCTTTTTTTTTTTTTTGTTTGATCAGTAGCATTATATTGGACAGGGTTGGATCATAATGCTTGCTGTAAGGTGATTGTCATTGTTTTCTTTATTCATAAAATCTTATTCTTTGAGTCGAGGCACCCACAATAACTTGATTTTGTCATTCAGGAAAGGAAATTCATACTGTAGTGAAATATGACCAATTTGTAAATAACTGGATGGTGGGTTAACCATTTTCTCAATCAGCAAAAGTGAGATATATTGCTTTCGATGATAAATATAAAAATCTGGTATGGTTAATTTTCTAATGAACCTTTTGGTCTAGCAAGCAAGAATTGAGTGGCAAAATTCATCAAAATATAATGGGACCTGCCCCTTTTTTCTGTTGTTCCCTACTTCCGGTTCATGTAGTTCTTGTGATGGGAACACGATCTCTGTCATGATCATCAGAAAAAGGAAGAGATACTCCTTTTGGAGAGATGTTCCTTACAGAGATTTGGGCACTGGATAGCTCAATCAGTGTTTCTCACAGTGAGTTGATCTTCTATGAACAGTTTCTTGAACTTTCTTCTCGATTTCCATTTTTCAAACACTTAAAAGGGAGGGCCCTCAATTAGCATGGACTTTATTGAACTTCAGTAAGCCCTGCAATAGCTGATGATTATCGTTGACAGATATTCTATTGTTTTCAGGAAAGTACATCAGTAGTTGTTATGAAATATAAGTAATTATTTTGATTAGATATGTTTTAATTGGCCTTCTAACATGGTGAGGAAAGGTTCTTCATGTTGTCTTGATCCAATGATGCTTGGTCTCATCAAACTTCCTCTCTTGTAATTACTTTTCTTTTGCTCTATATCTTCCTGAAATCTGCATATGACTGTCTGAAGACATGCATCATTTTGTTATTGGGATGTTTATGCACGTTTAGGTAAGGGTGACAATGGACCGGTTTTGGATCGGACCCGTCCAGTCCAGAATCAATTTGGACGGATTGGATGGACCAACAAGACATATTGGATTGGACCTGGTCCTTCCGTCCAGTCCAGAGTACAAACTGAAGACTCTAGGTGGACTGAAAGCAGAGAACGTCAATGCAATGTAGTGTCCATGATTCTTGTTTAGTTTTCTCTTTATCTTTTTTGTCCGTGCTTAGCACGAGCCTTTCTGTTACTATATATTAAAGCGAAAGGGGTGCTCTCCCCTTTTGCAAAACAG